TGCTGTCTTTCAATCCGTTTTCTACCTAGAAAACAGTTTTCTCTCATGTCTGGCTTCTCCTTTGTCCACCTTAATGCATCCAGGTTCTACCAGAACCAAAGCATTGCATCCAGGCTGGCAGGATTCAGCAGGCAACTACAGGGAAGGGCATCATGTAAGTGTGTAAGACAGCAGTTACTGCAATGAAGGGGTCCAAGACATCTAAGTGGCAGGTGAAATGGATTCCCAATTAGGAAACTAGGTTAGACTAGCACCTAGCCCAGTCCATGAACGCCAATCTTAACTCCTCCTTCACCATCATCCCTCACATCCCATCACCAAGCCTTAATTCTATCTCCCAAATATACGCTTAATTCATCCACTTCTCTCCATCCCCACTACCACTTTCTCAGTTCAGAGCACCATCATCTCTCACCTGAGCTCCTGACACCCCTCTGCACCATGATCTTATTGATTACAATCTGATTTCACTTCTTATCCAATGATACACATAGTAATCATCATCTACTGTGTCAAGCTTTCAACTAGTAACATTTCATACATTACCTCATTTCATTCAACCCTTCAAAAACCTCAATAAGGATTATTAGCCTCATTTTACAGGTGAGGAAAATAAGGCTCAGAGAAGTTATATACCTTGTTCAAGGTGGCTTTCATGTCTAAGGCATGGAAGCAAAATTCAAATCTAACTCTGACCTCAAAGTCTACCGCTTCTTGATTACAAACATATACTCGTGATTCATCTCTTCCCATTTACAACTCAAAACCTGGACACAAGGTCAATAAAACAAACCAAAAAGTTACCTAGGCTCATAAGCCAAATCCTGATTTTTAGCATTATACTTTTTGACTTGGCTATCTCTCTCTTACTTCATGGTCTCACCAGAGGTTGACAAACTATGGGCTGCAGACCATACTTTGGAGTGTGAGCTAAAAATGGTTGAAAACAAATCAAAAGAGTATTAAATGACACATGAAAATTATATGAAATTCAAATTTAAGTTGTCA